ATAGACGGCAAAGTGATCTCATAAGCGTATTTAATTTTTTCAAAATAAGGAAAGTGGGATAAAATGGATTGATGTTTATGCATTTTTAAGCATTGCAAGCCCTTGAAACGTAGATAATTTTAACTTGTTTTCCCTACCATGTTATCTGAAGAATGCTTAACCCAGATATTGAAATAAACAATAAAATTTTTGTTGACATACACACTTAAGCTTCCGCTGCCGACAAACATTTCATAACCACAGAAAGTAGAATTCACTTTATAGAGCATGTTGCAAAAATTAGGTAGTCTTTGTGGCCGGAATAAACGGACACAAATCGCATCTGTCGTTTCCATGACAATGATCACAGTGTTAGGGCTGGCCTGTCCATGTTATAGCTGTAATCTTCTGCGACAAAGGATCGTTTACTCTACTGGTCCGTTCCCATTAGCAAACTACTGTTCCAACTGGAGGCTGTTACCCACGGATCCACACTACCTACACTAACTCGACCAGGGTTCTGTGATCCAAGTTCCAGCACAGTGTCAAGACTCATGATACGTCAGTCTGTACCGGTAGAACTTCGAAAATATCACACAATATTAAGCATAGAAATCAGAATGAGATTCAAGGTCGTGCAGGTAATTAAAGAAAAATATTGAGAATGACGGTTTGGGCGGTATCCAAAAAAACTTTCACATTACATTCACTTCACTTTCACTGGCCTAGCCGGACATCACTGACAGCAGGCATTCCTTCGCGCATTTCGGTTATAAAAGGAAAGTATTTTTACAAGAGCAGGTACGAGAAGGATTGTTTTAAAATATAACAAGCAATTTATCCCAAATATAACCTTCTCTTCAACCACCGACTCTCGACATATATAAGTTAGTTGTTGGAGAGGGTGGGTTTCCTCATGCACTTAGACCTGTATTGGTCCATTGTGCTTCCCTCTATGATTTCTACCAGTCTCTATATCCTACCGGTACTGGTGCTTACCATCAGTCCCGCCCAGCCAGCGAGACCGGCTCTACTATCTGAGAGGTATCTATAATGCTTCCCCCATCTACCAGAGGTATTAGGGACTGCTGTTGAGCGGGAAACGTCCTTAAATTTGGCTCAGTGACCTCCTTTGGAGATATGAGGTTCTTTTACGTGCCGTAAAGCTACGGCACGGGACCCACGGCTTCAAGTCCCTCCCCGAGGACTTGTTCCCTGAATTTTTCCGTCCTTAAAAATTCGACGACCTCCGCCGGGTATTTGAACCCGCGTACTACGAGTCATGAGGTGGGAACGTTACCTCTAGACTACGGAGGCCGTTCTCTCGACATATATTAGTAAGTATCCAATTCAATGGACCAGAGATATTTTCAGGAAACAATCAGCTGCAAAGACACACGAAATTCTCAGAATTTTATGGAACCAGACGATTAATTACGCCGGTCATAGCAGCCGCGCAGTCTAAAACATGAACTCTCTTCACTCGCTCAGACACTGGGATCGTGGGTTCGAAACCACACAAGGCATGGTTGTTAGGTGTATGTATGCTTTTATTCTGTTTTTAGGTAGAGGCTTTGCGACGAGCTGAACACCCGTCATAGGGGTCCAACCGTCTGTAAAAATGATCAGTAAAACTAAGAAATCGGCCCTATGCCCCGAAGGTGAGAGCAAGAGGAAGGAGAAGAAATAATAAAAACTTTCTAAGCAACTCTAGTCCTTAATTACATAACTGCCATTTTGAAAGCTTCCCATGTTAGTGTGAGAATCTGGACCACACTCTAGTCGCCTAATGCAAAGGGAGGGGGCGGGGTTTGCAGAGTAGTGAGTGAGTATCTATCCCTACAGCTGATCCCAGTTGTCATAGCCACATACTGTACCTCCGACTCAACTGCTGCTTCTGGAAAGCCCGGGATCAAATACAATTCGGACGTATCGGAAACACAAGCGTAAACACTTCTGGAAATTGTGTTAGTGGGAAAATGTTGCTGAATTTTATTTCTTTGACAACAGAGGACAATCTCATACCGAAAATGTCTTCGCATTTCTATAATATTCTTTACCACGATAATGGCTTAGGAGAAGAGAGAATCGTGAATGGCTTCCCCCTGAAGTGACAAGCTGTCTAACCTTATGAAAATATTATCTAATAAATATTATTTAATAATCAATCACATGTTGTATGATATATGAAATTTCTTCAAATAAAAATTATAAGAAGACAATTTAAAATTGTGCATTGTCTTATCTTACGTCCCGTATAATTAAGTCCAAGTGAATATATCGAACTTGGTAACGTACTAATTCTTATTTTTCCCATAAAAACAAGTGAAAACAATCGTCGTATTTACTGAAACATGTTTACATCATCGCTAGAGGACATTCCTTCGTGTTTAAGATACCAAATAATCACAAGTATACATAAATCTTAGAATCATGCCAATGGTAAGTCTCCGAGATTATGTTCTGCATTGCGGAACAATCCGTTGCCAGGACGTTGCCTGGGGAGACATGGAGTTCACGAATGGTCCACCACGGTTCAGACTTCGAGCCTTCATGGACCCTTCTTTTGGGGCTGGTCAAGGGAACATTTCTTGTCACGAAAGCAAGAAACGGAAGTTTCCATAGAGGAAATAAGCATTGCACATAACGACATTATTGAAATCTGCTTCTGTCAGTTCCAGAGTGTCTGGTAGTTACATAAAGGAAATGTCTTATTTAATGAATTAAAAAGCGATTAATTCAATATACAATATATCCTGCATCCATTACTATGCACATTATTGCGCAGAACTGAGTTCCCTACTACGAGCCTGGAGGCCGCGGGTTCGAGTCACGGTGACGTGGATTTTTTCAATTTACCTAATCCTTCCAGCCGCACTATGGCCCTGGGGTAGACTCTGCTTCCAACAGAAATGAGTACCACGAAAGTCTGAGGGGTAGATAGTGGCCGGTGCATAAGGCTGACAAAGTCACCTACATCTGAGAGCCGATTTTCTAAAGAAAATGTGGCAGCCTCGACATCTCATAACCCACTGTGCTTTCACGGCCTGTTACAGGGATAGCCTTCCCTTCCTCACAAAAATTTATAACGTGACAAGGAATCATTCATTTCTACCTGTTATTCAAAGTATCAGCCAATTCCGAAGAGACAAACCTTAGAAACTCGCAAGTAAGGACCGTCCGGGATTATGTTTCGGACTTCCTATAGAAGTGTAGAACATGACTCTCTTTGCAGAGACTCGGTACTGCATTCATTTTCCCATTAGTCTTACCCACCATAACCATCATGAAGGTCGCCATTCTAATACTCGCCCTCGTTTTCAGCAACTCGGCCCTCCAGAGGTGACTGTTAGGCAGCTGGACGAATATGCGAAAGCCTCCAGTAGTTTCCTTAATTATTAATCACATTAAAAACTTTAATACACTGTCTCACTGCGAATATCCGTTTCATGTTTTGAAGGAAAGGATCAGATGTCACTTATAAGTGTATATGAGAACCAAATGTCTTTAAATGTGGATCCATTTGAGATAGACAATGAATTAGGACGGGCATTGAAACTCATAACATCTGATGATGACCTTACACACTGAAGCGTGTAGTAGATATATACTATATAATTGTATATAATAGAGCAGAATATAAACACTCTTATGATCATTGAAGTTCATTAGCTTTTGTGTTGACTGTCTCCGTAGTACCTTAAATAAATAGTGATCACGAGATACAAGTTTCTTCTTGCATTGGCAGGGCAGAATATAATATTGTAGAGTTTGACTCTGTGTAGACTACAAAGTTTTCGGGCGAATATATTGCAACCATTTTCAAATACAAACTGAGGAATTTCACAGCGTGTTTCTCTGCACCTTAAGCAATCTTAAACAAAAATTCATAACGTCACAAACCCGGAGGTAGTATTCCACGATTTCAACCAATATTCTTCGTTTAATACGACACCGAACTTATACCCATACAATCTATAAAGAAATATATATATATATTGTTAATTTAATTTATAGAAAATAAGTAATAACGGAAACCCAATTACGCAGGTCTCCTGGCGCCGAGTTACTGCCCAGTGATTACTCTTTGCAAACAGAGACCGAATTAGGCCCAAAATACGTGTATTCTCCTAATATACCTCCTGCTGATAGGCCCAGTGGCAGTCGAGTTCTGTCCGTATTCGAGAGATCCTACTCCCCGTTCTCAATCTGACACAGATGTCTCCACATCGCAGTATGACGCCTTTCCAGGGTGATCGGTTGGAAGATGTGGACTTCAGGATTAATAGCTTCTATGAAGCCAGTCATATTATTTCTTATTCTCTGGTTGTGTAGAAGGAGCATATTTCGAACGAAACGGAAGAAGCGGAAGAAACTACAGTAAATGTTCTTGCTGTTATTCCTCAAGCTGTATTGCGATCGCAAATAGCGACCTTGCCAATAAGATCACAGATATCTGCTCGAAAGACACACCTGAGAGTTAAGGTTCGGCCACACAGAGCGCTACGTACGCTATGTTCGCTATACCAACAGAAAAATATCTCCCTTTATGCCAATGCGACTGGCCACACAGACTTCCGTACGCTACGTACGCTATGTTCCCTATGTTAGCTGCGTCTCAGAGTGTACACAGCGTACGTAGCGAACATAGCGAACATAGCGTAGCGCTCTGTGTGGCCGAACCTTTAGAGTGTTGTACGTAATCATCAATGTACGTAATTGTGTAACAAATGTTAGCTGAACTATGTTCACTAAAGACAAAAGTTCTATAAGTATTAAAATAGCATTCATCCTGTATATTTCAGAAAATGTATGAACTTTGTTCGCAGATAATTCCGTAAATGTATTCGAGAAAAACAAGTGGCGAAAACATGGAATTTACTTAATTCAATTTATAACATCAAGGGGACAAAATCCGTCGTTCTTCTTATTAAAGCTCTTCTCTAATTCCGAGTACACAAACCATAAAAAGAATGAGTATCTGTTATTACATTCCCCACTACCAGCAATTTACGGGACGTATATATACAGCCACAATGGCCCGCTACATCATTCCGTCTCCAGACAAGACAACTGTACACACCGCAGTCATCATGCAGGCCGTGATCCTGGTACTTCTGCTCGTGACAGGTTCCCTGGTGCACAGCGCTCCACTGGAAGAACAGGAGGACGGTAAGTCTGTGTACAACATCTAAAACGATTCATATCCGCAGCTGGTCTGTAATCCCCGTTTATATGGTGTGAGGGAGGACCCACAGAAAACAACGTCCATTCTCGAATCAACAGGAATGTCTTTGCGTCGCCAAGCAACAGGCTGTTTTCCAAGAATCTGTCTCCGCGGGAATGTGCTTATCGAGCCGTTGCTTTGGAATCGCATCTCCTATGACTACCTTATTACGGCTTCCGGGTATCATGTCACAAGATGTAATATACTGCATATAATCGAAGTAACTGTACAAAATATTTTGTAAAATTGCAGACGAATCATATACATGTTCGCAACAATTCCTTCAAGCAAATCCACGAAAGGATCAGTTGGATTCATAAACTTGAATTCAGTAATGGTGTGTTATCTGCGGAAAGTTTCCATTTAACAATTTCCCAACCTTTCTTTAGTAACAAAATAAGATCAGGAAATAAGCAAAGAAACATGTTTTGAGAGCAAACTTTTATTCCTAATTCTTACGAAGAACTTAAATGCGTAAAGTAATCAAACTGCATTTGTGTAAACTGTTATATTTTTTAGAGTAAGAATCTCTAAGTGTACAATTGAAACTGAAGAGGCGATGAAGAATTGTTCAATATAGAATTACACAGCGAGGAGCCCGATTATTTCAGGAAAATTTCTGGTATCCTACGGCGATATGAAACAATATCTCAGTAAAATGTACAAGGAATTGTATTAAGTTATGATATTACCCAAATCCTGACAAACTCCAAAACATTCACGAAGAAAGTTTACAATAAATTTAATCTGAAATTCGCTATCGAAGATATTTCGGTGAAATTACTTCCGTTTTCTAGGTAGTTAAACTAGGAATAATTAGATTTTCGTAACGGCTGTATCAGCCGACTGGATAAGAACAACTTCCTCTTTCCTTTAACAATTGCAATGCTGCGTGAGATTCAGTCGGGATGTTTATCATAGGATTATTCTGTTCCTACCTGCAAAATGTGTAGGAGCACTGCAAGCCTGTCTCGAATCACATTAAGCGGAGAGCCTGAACCAGAGGCGGAGAAAGTCCAAAACTTACCTGAAAGAAAATAAAAAAATTCTTGAAATGTTATAGGATATAAAAATTCCCGGAGCGATTCGGCTGTGCCTCGCTACCGCCCTGATCATCTAAGGGTATCAACCTCAAGCAAAATATTCACATATTACCCAGATGTCTTTAAGCACCTTCTGGATTGCATCGAATCCCAGACGACACAACACCCTAGTGTCCATTCTACGTCTCTATTTGCTGTTCATATACAGGTCTCAAAAGTGCTCGCTTTCCTATAAGCATTGACACCGTCTGCATTTATATGCATCTGAATGTCAAGTCTTCACGTTCACTGCGTTGTGAGAACCCTTTCAAGAGCAGGGTACTTCTCCTACCTCCATCTCGTGAATATCTGCTCGAATTCTTCTCCTAAATATTTCAAGTATATACAGATATACATTAAAATTGATAATACGTGATAAGACCAAAATTTGTCGTGGATGCATTCAAATTCCAATATAATGACAATTTAAGGACGTTTTTTAAAGCTGTACAAATCTTGTAAGAAACACTATAGTATACAATTTAGTAGAATGATTTGCTAATATCTGCAAATATGTGCGTGTGTGTGTGTGCGTACGCTGGTGGTTGCGAAAAATAAAATTTCTTGTAGTGTAAATTTTGCTTTGTTAAAGACTGCTCATCCATTATAAGAATTTCTTTTTCGTAGTCCTTCTACCCCAGCCAAGAATCACCTGTGATCTCCTCAGCATAGAGATCGGAGGCTTCGCTTTCAACAACTCCCTGTGTGCAGCTCACTGTCTCGTCAAGGGTTACAAAGGGGGCAGCTGCAAAGATGGCGTCTGCGTATGCCGGAAATGAGCTTGAGCCAACACCCTGCAGTAGCAAGAGTAAATCAGCAGATATCGACAGGTCCATCTACAGAGCCTAAGGCGCTCCATTCAGCACATTTATGGAAAATATCACAAGAAATGTGACGTAACGGATAAACTTAGTGTCATTAAAAAGTAGAATATCTTTCTAAGTTTCTGAACACATATAAAACAAACATGTAAATGGGTCTTGTATTGTACCGATATTATATCTGTAAGTAAACATTAAGCTTCTAACAGCTTTCTAGCCTAATCACCATGAGAACCCTGACAAAATAAAATATTCATCATTCAAAGTGTCCACAAGTTTAATATCATCATTCACAGCAGAACTTCACTGATGCTTTCTTAAAGAGAGAAGAATCCATTTCACAAGATTCTACATTACTTCTTCAATTTCGGTGTTAATATTATTGTCCTATTCACGTCTGTTTTTCAAGTGGTCCCTTTGCTTGAGGTTATCCTTCCGAATTTTGTTTGCGCCTCATTCATTTGATCCTCTGCGCTCAGCCACAATATACCGCCACTTCAGTCTGTTTCCTGACACCTGTACACACCTTAATCATCATTCAGCCCGTCATTCTGGTACTTCTGCTCGTGGCAGGTTCCCTGGTGCACAGCGCTCCACAGGAGACACAAGATGACGGTAAGTCCATATACAAATCTACAGGCCTAAATAACAATGAGGAACAAACATACACGCGTACGTTTACTGTTCTGAAATTATTCGGAGAGCGAACAAAATTATAGGATATGATAGGATAGCGTGTATGCCTATTAGATTGAATTAACTACACTCTAAAGCTACTCCAATCTATCCTGATGTTTTATTGTGTCTCATAACACGCTCCATTTTGGGAACACGTTCAAGAACAGAATTGTTCGTCATCACATGCAAGGAATTCATCTAATAATTGCATGAAGTTGAACCGCTGCTACTCTCCTCTTCATCCTACCATCTACAATCATTGTGAAGTCGGGAGCGGTTTGTCGCCACAGGCTCTTGCGTCGTGTTTACAATACTCCTTAAGTTCGTCGCAGAGTATCCAAGCTCACAGCGGATGTCCCATCAGAAGTTACAATGATCGACCAAATAACAATAACAAGATGTAATGAGAACAAAACACAATATAACGCACTACAGGAATATACAAAAAATAGGGCACTGCGGGCATACAATGTCGCTGACAACCCAATATACACGGCT